TACATCCTATTATCAAAATTGGAAAAAAAAAAAAAAAAAGTAAACACTTCGTTTGTTAAACATGAAGGATTTCGGGAACCAGCAGTTAGCGTAATGGCTATGTCGCTGGACTCCCATGTAGTCGACCGTGGTTCGTGTCCCGGACCCGGTGGCTTAAAACTCACGCCGGGCGCGTGTGCGTGCGTGCCCAAGATCCCGAGAGGAGAATGGAGGAGAAGGGATTCCGGTGTGACCATCCCCCCTGGGGGGTGATTTCTCGCTTTCTGTCTCTATGTCTCTCTCTGTCTGGCGAGCGCACGCGCCCTACAGTGAAAATCTCTCAAAAAAAAACCCAAAAAAAAACAAAAAAAAAACAAAACATGAAGGATTTCTCCAAACTTAATTCAGAATACACACACACACACACACACACACAGTTTACTGAAAGTCTCTGAAAAAGACAACCTGCAGATAACTGGAAAACATACACCATATGGAAAAGAGGTACCAGCATTTCAATATTAGCATTTTAAGCATCTGCATTTGAGTTATAAACACCAAATTCATGACAGTGGTTACCTGCGCAGACAGAAGGGATGTAGGGAACCATTAGGAAGACAGTCGCCTGAAGGTTCCAATAATATCTGCATAAAACTTTTTTTTTAATTTTATTTATTTATTCATTTATTTTTAATTTAAGAGAGAGAGACACAGAGAGAGATAGAAAGGGGGGAAGTACGAAATCAAGCCACCAGGTCTCGGACTAGAACTGTGGTCAGTCATGTGGGACTGTCCAGTGCCTTAACCACCATGCTACCTGCTGGTCCCCAAAACTGTCTTTCTTATTAGAAATAAAACAAACAAACAAAAAAGATAAGACAGTGTTAAATGCAACAAATTCAATGGTGATTAAGAGGCACTGGTTAGATTTCCTTGTTCTTTAACTGTTTCTGTAGGTTATAAATACCTCCATTTTAAAAATTCAAGATTATGGGACCAGCAGATGGCATACGGTTACATCACTGAACTCGCACAAGGCTGACCGCAGTTCAAGTCCTGGACTTGGTGAATTGAAACTCACATAGGATGCAAGTACATGCACGCTCAAAATCCAGAGAGAAGAATGGAAGAGGAGGGACTGTGCCGTGGCCATATCCCCTAGGGGGTAATATCTTCTTTTCTGTTTTTGTCTTTCTGGTGAGCACGTGAGGAAAAATCTTTCTTTTGGAAAAAAACAAACAACAACAAAAAACAAATCCACAATTCTGTTTTCTTTCTTTTTTTTAAAGAATTATTTTATATAGCTTTCTTTATTTAAGTTTAACCAGAGAAAGACAGGAAAAAGGAGAGAAAGAGAGACAGACAGACAAAGTAAGAAAACAAGTCACCAGGTCTGGGACTCGAACCACGGTAGGCCAAGTGAGAGTCCAGCGCCCTTAACCACCATGCCAACCACTTGCCCCAATTCTAATTTCTTTTAATTTTATTTTTCACTGTTTTTTTGTTTGTTTGTTTTTAGATTTTTGCCACAGGGTGCATGCATTCACTGGAAAAAACAGAGAAAGAAAGGTAAGAAATCAGCCCCTGGAGGATGACTACACCACAATCTTCTCCATTCTCTTCTCTGGATTTTTGACATGCAGACATCAACACCTTGCTGCCACGCCTTGCCACTGGGTCTGAGACTTGTACCATGGAGTTAGCCATGTTGGATCCAGCACCTTAACTACCACACTACCTGCTAGCCCTTCATTAGTGTTTGTTTGTTTTTCTTTGTAAATACCAAAAGGCACATATACTAGCCAACGAGACAGAGAAGAGAGGAAAAGTGCACCTGCCAGTAGGGCATGGTCATGTGATTGCTTCTCCTCCACTCCTTCATGCTGTTAGGATTTGGGCCACACACACTGAACCCAATATGTTTTCAAGTTGCCAGGGCCACATTTTAAATCACAGTTAGCCATATAGGAGCTGGCTCTCTTAATCACTAGGAAATGGGAAGAGGCCATATGTTCTTATCTTTCTAAAAGATAAGAAAAAAAGAAAAACTAGAAAGATGGTGGTGATGGCTGGACAGCATTGAGAATATATAAACTACTGTGGGGCCAGCTAGTGCATGATGTTTGAGGCAGCTGGATCTCACATGGCTGACTGTGGTTCAAGTCATACACCTGACAACTTGAAAAACAAGCGGGGCATCCAAAATCCCAAAAGAATAGAGAAGGAATTGAGGCATGGACATCCTCCCTGGAAACTGCTTTCTCACCTTCCCTTTCTCTGTCTCCAGTGAGCATGTGTGCCCTGGAGCAAATTTAAACAACAACAAAACATTACACACACACACACACACACACACACACACACACACACACAAATAATCAATAGTACACTTAAAAATGCTAAAGATTGTAAATTTTGCTAAATGTCTATTACAAAAAATTTAAAAATAAGGAGGGAAAGACTGTCTTCCTAGGTATCTCCATACTTACAGATCTGAGAAACTTAGTAGGAAGTTAAAAACCTGAGTACCAAGATAAAGAGTAAAGGAAATATCTCCTTCCTGACTCTTTAATCGGGAGGGTCTTCAACATGAGTTTCAGATTTTCTGCACCAAAATAAACTTGTACTTTTTAACAAAAATTATTTAAATTTATTTATTCATTTATTTTAATTTGACCAGAGGCAGACACGGAGAGGAAGAAAGGAAAAGTGAGAAAGCAAGCCACCATATTCAGGACTAGAACCGTGGTCAGCCATGTGAGAGTGCTCAGCACCTTAACCACCAGCCCACCTGCTGGCCCCATATAAATTTGTACTTTAATTCCACTTTTCCAGAAATTTTTTTGGCATTTGCACATGTGTCAGGAATGACTTTCAAGCTGCTGGGTCTAGGATTCAAACCATACAGTTGGCCAAGGAGGATATAGCACCCTAACCTTCATTCTACCTGCTGGCCCTCCATGAAATTTATGAAGTCCCCTCATACTCTAGAACCTAAGAACTATTTATGAAGTAATTATCTTATCCTTATAAAAGGGAACTAATTCAAAGTGCATGAGATAACCAGGGTCATACAAATCAGAGCCCTCCAAAAAATGTAAAACAGTCGGTGCAGAACAATTCAGTATTTCCAAAAACTGCAACACTGGATCATTTTCTTACCTCTTTATGATCTTCAACTACACTAAGAAGTGTGTCGATGGTATTCAGAATTCCCATAGCAGTAACTGCTTTGTCATCACTCCCTTCTTCATCTGGCCCAGTCTGTATAACTTGGTTAAATGTCATGGCCTAGATTCAAGAGAATATCATGCAGGGTTGTTATTGAACCATTATAACCTATTTTGGTCTAAGACTTACTCTCTCTCACCTTTCTCTTTCTCTCTCTACTGCACATGTCCTCATAGGCAAAACAAAAGATTGTGTTTTCTTTAAAGGTCTTATTTTTATCATTATTAATTATTTCTTCCATGAGTAACTCCCAACAATGGCTGGCACCACAATCCACACCCTCCTTTGCCAGCCCTGTCCTGTGGGCACATGTGCGCCTGTGTACTCTGGAAGGTCTTTGAACCTTCCCATGTGGACTAGCCTCACAAACTATTACACTTAACCACTGTGCCACTGTCCAGCCCCGCAAAACAATTGTTTTGAATATTCCAGAAGACTATGTAGACAGTCATGCTGCAGCCTAAGGTAGAATTTAAGAACATGCAACTGCAGAGGCCCAAGTATGACAACCAGCTTCACCATGTCTAGTTTGTGCAAACTATTTAACCTTTTCATATCTGACACATTCTGTAGTAAAATGGAATGTGTAATGATTAGATGAGTTAAACATCTATCAAGGGCTTAGTACAGTACTTGCCCTATAGTAAATAATGAAAGATAATTGGTATAAGGTAGGGCAAGCCACTTGTGACATATGACTTGGAATGTACTGAGAGCTAAGTTAAAATATACAAACGATAAATTCAAACATACCAAATGTTGTGTCATTTCTACTGCAATAGGAGTAACTTCTTCACTATATTCACAGATCATTTTCTGAATTACATTGGTAAGATCATCGTTTTCTGTTTCTCTTATAATATGAAGAAGAGCCTGCATTACAGGTCTGATGAATGGTGTGATATATTCTTTAGCTGTGAGAGAAAACAAAAGGAAAATAACTCTATAAACTTTTGAGCAAACCAGCTAAAACTTCTTAAAACCAGATACAACACTCAACAAAAGATAAAAAAGGACTTACATATTAAAGGAACTATGACAAGTTCCAACAATTATGCATTATCAAATTAAGTGTAAAGACATTTGCTATTTTTTTTTAACAGTTACTTGCTTTATTTTTACTTGTTATTATTATTTTTTTAATTAGACCAAAGCAAGACAGAGAGAAAAATGGAAAGTGAGAAAGCAAGCTGCCAGGTCAGGGATTTGAAGCACAGTTGGCCATCGTGCCACAACCATGATGCAACCTGCTGGCCCCTGACTGATTTTTTTTTAATTGCCAGAGGGTGTGTGTACTTACCAGAGAGAGAGAGAGAGAGAGAGAGAGAGAAAAGAAAGCACTCCCCAGTGATGTATGGTTATGCTGCAATCTCTTTTTGCTTCTCTATCCCATTAGGATTTAAAACATGCATGCCCACACACCCAGCATGTTGTAAGCCACAGACACTGGGATTCAAACCATGTTCAGCCACGTGGGATCTACCTTCTTATGCGCAGCACTTAACTGGTGGCCCAGCATTCACTATTTGACATATAAATCTTTTACCTTTTTCTTGATTGCTGATCAACACTTGAAGTGCAATGGCAGCTTCAACTTTCACAGGCATTTCCCTATCATCAATCAAACATCTTCTTGTTAGCTCTAAGGCTGTTTGAAGGTTCTGATCACTTTTGAACTTCACTTCACAAAAATAGTGAAGTACCCAACAAGCCTTTAAAAAAAAAATGCAGTGAGTTATTATACATATCTTACATTAACATTCCCAAGCTAATTTTCTATTACCAGAGTTCTGTGTGCGGGAATTAGGAGGCTGGTCAGCGGTGGATTTGTCCTAAAGACAACACTAGACCAGTACTATGTTCCCTAGTTACTATCTGGCTGCATGACGTTTGTGTGAATAGCAAGTCTGAATGTAAAACACAGACAGACACTGCTACCAGACACAGATAGAGGATGAACTGTGCACACATTGCAGCAGCCATGGAAAGATTTACATTAAACACAAGTCTAAAATGACATAATTTTTTATGTGAACATTGAAGAGTTTCAATATAAAAGTCTTCAGAATGAGTCATTCATTACAAAGTGTAAGTATATAAATATAGTTGTACGACATACCCTTGCTCTCATGTAGCCTAGTTCACTGCTGAAGAGAGGGAATACGTGATTCTGCAACATGTATTCCATCTGGTCCTTATAGATCTTTTTCTGAAAATAAACAAGTCATTTTGATAAAGTTCCAAGACAATTATCTTAATTTCTAAACAGATATACCAGTGCTTAAAAAATGACTATTGTCAGCCAGTGACTCCCATATGGCCAACTGCATTTCAAGCCGTGGATCTGGTGGTTTGCTTTCTCACTCTCCCCCTCCCTCTCTGTGGTGAGTTCACATGCTGTATAGCAAATTTAAAATAGTAATAATAATAATAATAAAATTAAATAATTATTTTTTAAAAATGACTACTGATATGATAGCAAAAACTTATCTAATACATCTGTGACCCCAGAATACAAGCCAATTCCTTATTCCAGAACTTCACGACCAAAAACCATTGAATACATTTTTTATGTTTTTGTATGACTTAAGAAGAGAGGAGGATGGAGGAGAAAGGACAGCTGTCCCCTCTGTGGGTTGATTTCTCACTTTCTGTCTCTCTGGCAAGCATGCATGAACTCTATGGCAAAAACCTGCCCCCCCCACCCGCCAAAAAAAGTAACACAGCTAAACAGTTCTCTGAATACACTAAAAACTAGTTATGAGACTTTAATACGGGCAAACTGCATGACATCTGTCATTATCTCAATAAAGCTGTTTTCAAAAATACCTATTTACACACATTTACACATACATATACACGTGAAAGAATTACCTTCAGAAGTATTTCAGCTAAAGAGCCAATCATATGTAGGGCCCCATCTTTTTTTCGAGGATCAGCATTTGGTTCGGTAAGAATTTGGTAACAAAATCCCATAGTCTTTTGTAGTACCTGGATTAAAAAGAAAAGTAATACTTTACTGGATATCTGAAACAGTTCTTCAAAAACAAATTAACAAAATGATTCCTATTTAAGCTGACATTTAAAACTGAGTGTATAGGTGAGTAAGTTTAAAACAATACAACAAAAGTCATCTACATATTGCATCGCCTACCTCTTTCCTCTTACTGCAGGCTGTAAACAAAAGTGTCTGGGCAGCAGTGGTAGGAGAAATGAAATCTTCAAACACGTCTAGAGAATAAATTCAGAATTAAGACAGAAAACAGCAATTTAAATTTCTTCAAACATTTTCACATTATATAATTTTTAAATGTGCTGTGTAAGACAAGGCATTTTTAAAATGTGATTGGCAATACACATAGGCAAATTTAACCACCTTTTTTTTTTTTTCAAGAGATTTTTGCTATAGGGCACATGCACTCACCACAGAGACAGAGAAACAGAAAGCGAGAAATCACCATTGTGGGGGATAGCCATTGCCACAATCCCTTCTCCTCCATTCTCCTCTCAGCATTCTGGGCACACATATCCAACCTGAATTTCAAACCTACAGACCCAGGACTCAAACTGTGGTTGACTACATGGGAGTCCAGTGATGTAACTACTATGTTATCTGCTGGTCTCAAAAATGTGTTACATGCTTACAGGTGAATATGAAATGAATCCAGATCCCATGTAATTCTCCAATAATCTACTTCCACATCTTTTCTGTACAAATTAAATGTGAATGCATCCGTTTTTTGTTTTTTTTTTTTTTTTAAGAGAGATTTTTGCTATAGGACACATACACTAGTCACAGAGACAAAGAGACATAAAGCGAGAAATCACCCCTCTACCGGGGATAGGGCCACATCTCAATCTCTTCTCTTCCATTTTCCTCTCAGATTTTAGAAACTCATGCACACATGAGTTTTAAACCTCTGGGTCAAGGACTTGAACCATGGTCAATTCTGTGGAATCCAGCGACATACCCATCACACTATGTGTTGGTCCCGACATATTTTGTTTCTAAAAAGTAAAAATTTTCTTACCAAACTTCATGCGTATATATTCATAAGGGTCTTCTTGCCAAAGTTCCTCATCAGCATCTGTATAGCACATCAATGGGAAAATAACATCTTGGATAATACCCTGCAATTTGAAAGTTAAAGTAAAAGCCTCAGTTTTCAAATTTAAACATTCAAATTTCTTTTGGGCACTTAAACAAAAGTCACCCTATAATATGTATTTTAAAATTTAATACCAAACTTCAGTAAGGCAATTAAGGCATTGTAATTCAGTTATTAAACTACTACATGTTTTTATCCTCTCTCCATCAAATAATTTTAAGTTAACACAATACCTTTTATATATTTTTCTGCTATACTCTCAGCCTAAGTAACATAATACAACAAAAAACAAAAATGTTCAACCTTTACGGCAATTAATGTTGTTAGTATCTGCTAGAAAAATATTTGGAATAGAAAAATATTACTTGTATATGAGGCTTCAGATTCTTCCAGGTGAGGGCATGAGAAACTCCTTGATTAATATAATTTAAGGTCTGCTGTAGAACCCGAGGAGCCATATACTGCTTCTCCTTGTATTGGTATAACACCTTCAATAAAACCTTTGGTAAAAAGATTAAATTAAAATCAAATATTAAAATAGAAAGTTTAACTACTTACTAGTTAGTAAAAACACCTAATCCTTATCAGAATCCTGAGGTTATCAACACAAAATAACAACCATAGTCTTTTAAAAGGAGGTGATTTCTAAAATTATATGCTAGAGAAACATATTTAGGGACCAGCAGTTGGCGTAATGGCTATGTCACTGGACTCCCGTGTAATCAACTGTGGTATGAATCCTGGACCCAGTGGTTTAAACTCACGCCAGGCACGTGTGCATGTGTACCCAAGATCCCGAGAGGAGAATGGAGGAGAAGGGACTGCAGCATGGTGATTCGCCCAGGAAGTGATTTCTTGCTTTCTGTCTCTCTCTGTCTTTCTGGTAAGCACATGAGCCCTATAGCAAAAAACTCTCAAAAAAAAAACAAAAAAAAGAGAAACATCTTTATTCCCGAAGTATTTAAACTATAAACTTAAGTAATACTATGTTGAAGTAGTTTTTTTTTTTTTTAAGGTTTTTTGCTATAGGGGAGGGGGGGGGAGGGGGAGAGGAAGAGAGGACAGTGAGAAATCAGCCTGCAGAGAAGATACCAGGTCACAATCATTTCTCCTCCATCTTCCTCTAAGGGTTTTGGGCACACAGGTCAGGTACATGTGCCCAGTGTGATTTCCAAGCCTCCAGGTCCAGGACTCAAATCATGGCCAGCCACATGGAAAGCTAGCACCTTAATCATCATGTCACCTGCTGACCCCTGGACTAGTTTTTATTAAAGTAAAAATAGAAAAAACTATATGCTACCTATAGAGCATGTCACAATATTCTCAAAGAGCCTGATTTTCAAGCCACCAGGGACAGGATTTGAGTGATGGTTAACAATATAAGATCTATCTCCCTTAACTATCAGGCAATGAACCCTGCTCCAGGATACCAATTTTCGAACAGACCTGTACTGTCCCAAGACTCTGTCATAACAATACTAAGACGTTATTTTTTTTTTAACATTGTGTTGACATTTGCATTAATGGTACAAAAGTGCTAATGGTCAAACTTCCGATGCCTAATGTGTATCGATGCCATAGTACACAAGTCATTTCATTTGTTTATAGCTACATACCCATAGAACAAGTTTTCCTTATGAATGTACTTCATTGGACAGCAGGTGGCACAGAGTTTAAGGGACTGGACTCCCATGTGGATGACAGTGGTTTGTGTCCCAGACCCAGTGGCTTGAAATGTTATGTCAGGCATGTTTGTGTGCATGCCCAAAATCCCAAGAGAATAAAGATTGCAGCATGGCTATCAATTGTGGGGATGATTTCTTGCTTTCTGTCTGTCGCTCTCTGTCTTTCCGACAAGCACATGTGCCCTACAGCAAAAATCTTTCCAAAATAAATAAATAAATAAATAAATGTACTTCATGGGGCCAGCTGGTGGCATGCTAGTTAGGGTAGCTAGTTAAGGAGGTTCGATCACCCATGGCCTATAGCACATTTCAAGTTCCAGACCCGGCGGCTTGAAAAACATACTGGGTGGAGACAGGACTAGACAAGGGACTGTGGCATGGCCATCCTCTTTGTGTGGAGAGAAGGTCATTCTTCACTTTCCATCCATTTCTCTCTGTGTCTCACTCCAGCAAGCATATGCCTTTAAAAATTTTTTTTTAATTTATAAAAGGATTTTGATTCAAAAAGCTATTTTTCACAAAAGATATTTATATGTAGTGAATTTTTCATTATTTTTAAATAAACTTAAATCTTGTTTTAATTTCTAGTATGATAAATACCAGAACATATAACCCTTGTAAATGTTGGCTTGGGCCACCAGGTGGCGCGGTAATTAAAAGCGCAGGACACCCATTCAGCTGACTTGGTTTGAACACTGGACCTGGCAGATTGCTTTCTGGCTTTCCCATTTTCTCTCTCTGGTCAAATTTACAAATAGTAATAATAAATAAAATCAATTCTTAAAAAGCAAAAATAATAAATGCTGGCCAAGTAAGGTCTTCAATAATTTAAGCCTATAAAAAGGTCCTGGAAACCAGCAGATGGCGTGATGGTTACATTGCTGGACTCCCACATAGTCAACCATGGTTCAAAGCCTGGGCCCCATAGCTTAAAACTCTCGCCAGGCACATGTGCATGTGTGCCCAAAAATCCTGAGAGAAGACTGGAGAAGGGCTTGTAGCATAGCCATCCCCCACCAGGAGTGACTTCTTGCTTTCTCTTTGCCCTACAGCAAAAATTTCTCTTAAAAAAAAAAAAAAAAAAGAAGTCCTGGGACCAGCAGCAAGCATAACGGCTATGTCGCTGGACTCCCATGTAGTCGACCGTAGTTCGCGTCCCGGACCCAGTGGCTTAAACTCACGC